AGTCTCCTCCTAAACATTACACAGCATCCTCAGAAGGGTTTGGTTTGTTCTTTACCCCTTATGTGATCTCAGCACCCAGTACTTCTTGACAGCTGAGCAGTGATCATTAGTTATTTAACTATTTATAACCACTGGTTTAATGTCTCTCCCAAGAGACCATGAGCCCTAAGAGCAGGAACCCACACCAATTGTTTGCTATCTGTCGCTTTCATTTGGCATACAGAAGGCATTCAATGATGCCACTGTTTGTTGATTGGCGGGAGGGTTCTGAAGCCCAGGTGTGAGGGTAGAGCGTGGGGAGGATGGATGGAACATGTGGGGGCTGCCAAGGGAATTACGTGTAGGGCTGGGTGGCTGCCTGGTCCCTACCTCATGGTCCAGCCTCCTTCCCCGGAGCCTGGACAGCCCGTAATTGGGTGTTGTATTCATCCATCTCCAACTGTGTTCCTGGGTCACTGTTTCATAAGATCCTGGTTTTTCTTCAGACTCTTCTTTCCCAGCTGGCCTTCCTTTTTTTGAATTTGCTGTTAATCCTTGAAATGAAAGTGCGTGCCCCCAGAGTACCTCCATATGCAGTCGTTCCAAACAGCTTAGCACTTCCTAAAAAGGGGAAACAGAGTTACCGTATGAACCAACAATTCCACCCCTGGGAGTATGACCCAAGAGAGTGGACAACCTACGTCCACAGAAACCCTTGTCCGTGAATGTTCATAGCAGCATCATTCATAGTAGCCGAAAAGGAGAAATAACCCAAATGTCCATCAACTGATGACTGGATATGTAAAATGTGGTATATCAATACAACGGAATATTATTCAGCCATAAAAAGGAATGATGCATCAATTCACACGATTGCCCAGATGAACCTTGAACCTGTTGTACTAAATGAAGCCAAAGGCAAGAGACAACATGGTGTATTCCACTTACATGAAATGCCCAGAATAGGCAAATCCAGGGAAACAAAGTAGATTCTTAGTTGCTTAGTGCTGGGGGTGTTTGGGAGAAAACTGGAATGACTGCTAATGGGCATGGCAGGTTTTTTGGGGAACAGGGATGAAATGTCTGAAACTGATTGGGGTGATGGTCGCACAACTCTGTCAACATACTAAAAACCACCGAAATATAAACTCTAAGTGAACGAGTTATATGGTATATGAGTTCTACCTCAATAAAGCTGTTACGTTTTTAAAGAGCAGTACTTCCTAATCTTGTTAGGTCAAGATTCTTGGAAGAATCTACGGACAGATGTGGACTTTCTCTTGTCCCCACTCCCAATCCCTCACTCATGAGAAATCCCTACATGCATGTATATAAAAGCTTCATGAAACATCAGGAGATTCCCAGACTGACTCGTGTCCATTTATAGACCCCCTAGAGGGCAACAAACTCCAGGGGAATCCTGTATGAAACTATCACTAATACATAAATGCTGGGTCAGGTGCACAGCTGAAAGATTTCCTTCCCTCCACACCTCAACTTGGCCTTTGATCCCCCCCGCTTGTCAGAGTCCCCTCTTGCCCCCTCCCCCTCCCTCCTCAAGCTGTTTTGATGTCCTTTCTTGATCAGTGTGGAAGGCAAGGTTTAAAATGGCGCCCGGGACCGTCACCACCCCCCACCCCCCCTCCGGTGTTACTCCCATGTTCTGTGGTAAAACGGAGATCATCTGGGTAAAATTCCTCAAATGGCTACTCGCCCTCTTATCATTCCTGGTCTACATTGGGAGCTGTCTCAGTGTCAAAACGTTAAAGTTCCAGAGAGGGAAAGCACATGGCTCTCGGCGTGGGAGAAGGGGAAGGGGAGAAGCCCGGAAGGTTCCAGAGTGCCTCCAGCTTGCACAGAAGATGTGGGACCCCAGCCTGGAGTCTGGGAAGGGGCTGGGCTCCTTCCTTCACGCTGAGGCCCACCTCCTCCCCTCCTTTCTGTCTGGAAGAGCTAACAGGTTCAGTGGGGAATGGGGTGTTCCAACTCGGACAGGGAGTCTGCGAAGGTCTCCCTTCCTCTTGCCTCCCTTTACCCATAAAACCCCCAGAGCCCTACTTTCTGCCTTTGCTGATGAGAACCACTCATTTCTGGAACTAATCACTTTTCTGCTTTAACGAGCTGGTGCCTTTTCTTGCCGCGAATGCTCTAATCAGGCCCTTCACTCCATCTTTTTCTTGGAAGGTGACCTCCCTTCATCTGGGAGCCCAAATCTGCCCTCAACAGGCGGTCTTGGGCTTCTTTCTGTGGGTCCTGGGCCCAGGGCAGAGGTGCCGAGGGGCTGAGGGAAGGAGCGGGGGTCTGTCCTCGGATGCTGCCCTCCGCCACTCCTCAGTGAGAGGTTCCAGAGGATCCCTGGGCTTTCTGCTCAGGCTCTGCCCCTCTCTGTGGGCCTGGGAAGGAGTTTGTGGGTTTGTGGCTTTGCCTGTAATCAAGAAATCTGCCTAGACCTACAGAATTTCTTCTCCCCGGCCAGGGCTGGGCCCCTTTGGAAACCTGAAAAGTGCAGTGGTATCAGAATGACTTAGCAACACACGTGTGAGCACGTGTGGGGTGAGCTAAGCCTGTGTATGATCGCAGGGATTCTAAGCGTGACCCCACCGTTCCCCCGTTTCAGTCACGCAGGAAACCTGACACTCCAAGGAGGAGGAGCAGGAGGGAGGGGAGAGGGAGAGGAGGAGGGAGGGGAGAAGGAGGAGAGGAGGAGGAGAGAGGGAGGAGAGAGGGAGGGGAGAGGGAGGGGAGAGGGAAGGAGGGAAGAAGGAAGGAGAAGAAAGGGGGAAGGAGGGGGTTGGAGGAGAAGGGAGGAGGGGAGGAGGAAGGAGGAGGAGAGAGGGGGAGGGAGGAAGAGGGAGGGGAAGGGAAGGATGAGGAGGGAAAGAAAGGGAGGGAAAAGAAAGAGGTAGGGAGGGAGGAAGGGGTGGAGGGAAAGGGAGAGTGGGAGGGGAAAGGGAGAGGGCAGAGGAGGGGGAGGAGAGGGAGGGGGAGGCCCTGGGGCAGGACTGAGGGGATCCTAAGCCTCCCAGGAAGTGGGTTCAGTCCCGGAAGTCTGGACATCTCGACCCCCACCTTACAGACACAGCAGAATACAGGGGGGATTTGTGTCTTGGGGGGTTGGGGGAACCGTGTGTCCTGCACCCTCTTCCACCTCCCACGACACAGCCCAGGAGACTCAAAGGGGAGGGGAAGCTATTTTAGAGGCACACCCTTCACCCACAAACCTGTTTCCGGAGGGCCCTGACGCCCATCTCCTTCCAGCACCACTACCCACTGCTCCGGGAGCAGCACCCCCAGACCTCACCATCCTGGGTTTTCAGGATGGCCTCTGCCCCCAGCCCCTCCCAGAGGCCACGGCCCTGGCCCTCACCTGTGACACAGAGGAGGCTTGGGGCCAGACTGCCCTGTAGTTCCCAGAGTTTCTTTTTATGGCTGCTTCCGGTGAGGGGGCGTGGGAGGTTTGCCCCCCCCAGTGAAGCTCATACCCAGCCACGTGAGGCCAGGACTGCTGCACCCTCCCCGGGGGACCCCCCTACAGCGTCTCCCACCTGGACCCTGGGCCAGGTGAATCACTTGGAGGGCTTATTAAAAAGCCCGGGGGGGGGGGCGGGGCCTGGGTCCCACCCTCAGTGTTTCTGACTCTCAGGCCTGAGGCGGGGCCTGAAAATTTGCATTTCTAATAAGTTCACAGGTGATGCTGATGCAGCTGGTCTGGGGAGCACATACCTGCACCTGTAGGTTGTCTATCCCAAGTGAGGGCTACCTGCTGCCCCCAGCGGGATCCCCACAGGGGAGGCTGCCCCAGCCCTCTCAGTGGGGACCCCTCGTCCCGTCCTGCTCTGCTACTGGCTTTGGAGGGGAAGGCAACAATGCTCCCACCTTCTGGGAGGCAGCCTGGAGGAGGGAGCCCTGGCCCAGGACAGGAGGCACCATTGTGAATCCCGACCTCGTCATCTGTAGCCAGCGACCCCGAAGACAGGGATAGTGGTGCCCCGCGGGGTTTTCACCCCGATGATGTGTGCATGAATATATGTTCAATAAATGCTGTTTTCTTTGTCTGCTCTCTGATCTGACCTGATTTGAGTTTTTGACCCTGAGTGCGAAATTTTACATTAATCTCTACTCGGTTCAATTTTGCTGGTTTCTTTTTTCCCCTTTAAGATTCTATTTATTTATTTGAGAAAGACAGAGATAGCAAGAGGGGAGGAGAGGGAGAAGCAGGCTCCCCGCTGAGCCTGACGTGTGGCTCCTTCCCAGGACCCTCGGGATCATGACCTGAGCCGAAGGCAGATGCTTAACCGACTGAGCCACCTAGGCGCCTGAGTTTTGCTGCTTTCTTTCTTTCTTTTAAAGATTTTATTTATTTATTTATTTAATTGACAGGGAGAGAGAGAGAGAGACAGCATGAGAAGGAACACAAGCAGGGGAAGTGGGAGAGGAAGAAGCAGGCTTCCAGCTGAGCAGAGAGCCCGATGTGGGGCTCGATCCCAGGACCCTGAGATCATGACCTGAGCTGAAGGCAGTCGCTTAACCAACTGAGCCACCCAGGCACCTGAGTTTTGCTGCTTTCTGACCATGATTCCAACCTGCTGAGATGCGTCCTTCGGCAGCCTGCCTCCTATTCCCATATTAGTGTCGCTGGTACCACACTGCGTGTTGTAGGGTCCCGGTGGCTAGGGCTCAGGGCTTGGTCCCTAGGTTGGGGACGGTCCTAGACTCACCACCTATGGCACTCCGGCTTGGGAAGCTGCATTCGTAGTTTCTAGTGAGTCTTTGAATTTCCGGTTAGAAACCCCAACTTACAAAAATAAATTTTTTTTGAAGTGATAGAGGAAAGAAGGGTCCTAGGTACTCACCCCGCTGCTGGTCTCTTTCTGTGTGCAAGCCCAAAGCCTAGGACATGCCAGGCCCGAGATTTGTTTTCGAGTCCCTGGGCTGCCTAAGTGACCAGCTTCAAGAGGAGGTGCTTTTCTCCCTTCAATGGACCATGTTCCCCGTGAACAAACCAAAAAGGGACAGAACTTAGAAACAAACATCTTACAGAATTTAATGTTTTCAGGGACGGGAGGGACTGAGGCCTGAGGTGGGAAAATGGCAGGGTGTTCGCCAGCAGAAAGGCACAGGGGTCCCCAGACAGCTGGACTGGGCTGACAGGACCGCAAGCTCACCATGAACCCATCTTCTCTCTGTCTCTGTCTCAGAACATTCTGGAACTGCGGCTGCTCCCTAAACCCGGACTTGCTGTTGTTCTTTCTTCCTCACCTCTGCCCAGATGTCCGACAGATCCTGGATAAACTGCTGGATCTAACAAGGCAAGGGGACCCGAGTTAGCCCACCCAGCATCAGGCCACCCTGTCCCCACACGGAGCACGTCAGGGCATAACCTAGAAGGAGTCACTGTTTCTCTGGGACTGACTTCTTGAAGCATTTAACTTTCCCTTACTTGACAGTTATTCTAGTTGAAGCATCAGGCTTAGCAGACTGGGAGGCACAAACAGGGAGCTCCTGGGGGCCGACATGGAGACAGCATGAAGAACGGTGGACAGTCTGATGGAGGGAAAGACGAGGGGATGCTGAGCAGACTCCAGTACTAGAAGCCTCTGGCAGGAGGGGCCAGCAGTGTTGGGGGAGACGGCTACCCACAATTTAATAGCCTTCAAGGGGGGCATTTACTTGGAACCCAGAACCGATGCCCGTTTTGACAATCCTGAGTCACAAGGGAAGCTTGAGTTCTGTTCACTAGCTTGTTTCAAAGAACACGGGCTCCGTGTGCCACGTGGGGACCTGGTCTACTGATACAGCTCTGGGCAAATCAGTTCATCTTTCTGGGACTCAACTTCTTCATCTTCAAAAAGGGAAGGGGGAGAACGGGTTGACCTTGATGGCCTCTAAGACCTCAGTTCTAAAATCTCTCATTTTCGAGAATGTTCCTGGAGATGGGACTACACAGACTGTCCCAAACTCTCGACAACCCTGTCTGCCATGAATATTGTTACTATTATGGATACAATTCCTGTTTTGTAAAAGAGGAAACAAAGAGTCAATGAATTAAAGTCTCTTCCCCAAGGTTACGGAGGAGACAAGCCCAGAATTTTCCATGTTCTGTGTTCTTTTTTTTTTTTTTTTTTTCAAAGGAGACTCTTTTTTTTAAAGATTTTATTTATTTATTTGAGAGAGAGTGAGAGACAGAGAGCATGAGAGGGAGGAGGGTCAGAGGGAGAAGCAGACTCCCCGCCGAGCAGGGAGCCCGATGCGGGACTCGATCCCGGGACTCCAGGATCATGACCTGAGCCGAAGGCAGTCGCTTAATCAACTGAGCCACCCATGTTCTGTGTTCTTATAGTCATCACACTCCCCCACAAAAAGTTTCTGTGGTCAAGTTAGCTTTAGAAATGTTATCTGCTCGGAGAGTCTCCGGGCAGAACCATAGCAAAGACGGTGGAGTCCTGTGTGCAAAGACCATCCAACTTTGCTTCACTGAGAATTTTCCAAACCTATTAGTCCACGAGCTCCTTTGATTCCCCCATAGGAAACTTAACCACCTCTTGGGGTCCTAGGATTTGCCAAGCACAATTAGGAAAATGCCACTCCAGTGAGCTTGGGTTTTGTTCAGGGATCGCGCTGGACCTTCCAAGACACGGTACCATTGAATTCAAATTCAGCCTTTTGCAAAATCATGCTTCCTAAGTTGTACTGTGGGACCATGCTCCTCAATTCTAGATAAGTGGCTGCCTTCCAGAGCTTGTGCTTGGATGCGTCATAGGGATGTTTTTGGGAACATCCATGTGCTAGGAGTCTCTGCAGCCTCCTTGGGAAAATTTCAATTAGAGTCAAGCACCGGAAAAGGTTTGCTCTGAGCACACCTACGTTTTCTCATTTTGGTACAAGAACTATGTGTTGTTTTTCCTTCTTGTCATCAGGAGGCACAGAACCAACTGCTGAAGCTCTTGAGCTACTGTCCTTTATACTCCAAGAATCTGCAGTCTGTATTTCTCGCTCGGGCCTGGACCTTCGGTTGTAACGTTAATTTTCCCAGGTCCTCGTTTTTAATTGTTTCAGGCTAGTTAATCATGTGTATGTCTGTC